AAATTAGTGATTATGCAGGTAAATAAATGTTCTGCATGCTGCAATGTGTACAGAAATATGCAGCTCATAACATAGTAAAGGCCTATGCCATGCTAAGCCCTTGATGGTACAGCTGATGCTGTTAGATCCAGTAATAGTGTTTTCAGAATGTATTGAAGAGATGGCGAAACAAACTGGTTTGATTTCTTGAATAGCATTTCTCTTGGGTAGTCTGCAGTTGTAAGCAAGCAGCTACTTTCGGTTAGGGAACTATCTATATAGTTTGAGAGTGCCATCACTATGTATTTGTGTCTTAAGGCATCAAAGGGATTTACAAATTCAGTATTTTCTTTCCAGTGTTCGTTCATGCAAGTACATTAGTTTGCTAGCCACTTTCTTAAAGAACCATGTTGCAGGAAGGCCAGATGCAATTAATTAAAGGAATAAATGCTGGATTATTTTTTTTATTAACTGCATAGGGTTTACTGTTTGTTGTTGTTGGGGTTTTTTTTTGCATTTTTTGATTTCTGTAAACTACCTTGTGATCTGCTTGTTGTATTAATGCAGTCAGTGTGCTGTTGATATGGGATGCCCTTCTTTGTTTGTGCTTTTGTAAATAACCGGTTTCCCCCATATGTGTGTGTGGCATCTGTTATATGACACAACCTTAATGAGATACTGTTGTCGCAAATACTGTCATTGGAGAGAACCCAAAACAAGTTTTCTTGCCTTGTTATCCATTCTGGGTCTCTCCCCCCCCCCCCATTATGGAAATGGAGTCAGCCAACTCTGGCACAGTGTGTCTGAAAAAACAGGTGCTTCAGATTTCCACAGGGGATTTCAGGTGAAGGACGGCAGAGCTCGGCTCAGCACTGTGTGCAGAAGGGTTCCTGTGCTAGTTCAGATTTTCACATGTTTTAACACACTAACACCTCCCCCCTTGGGTGAACAGATTGCCAACAGAAGTGGCTTTTGGGGGGTGGGGGGACATGTCATTGTAATTCAGCGAAAACCTGAAGTTCCTTTTTATTTGGCTTGGGGCCTTCTGTTCTGCTCACTTAACAGACTTCAGAGCTCCCCCCCCCCCGCCCCCGGATTGTAACGTGTGGCGATCTCAGGAGTGCTGTAGATGCTACCCTTGAGCTTTATTCAAAGTGATACAACACTCTTAGCTGCATTGCCCATTTGTTTATGTTGCTAGCTCATAGATTCTCAGGTGAGGTCCTACTGTAGACATTTTGGCCCTCTGAAGCTTTGCTTATAAAGAAGAGTTGTTTTCTTGTTTCATTTCCTGTGGTCCACCGAGTTAGTTCAATTGGAGCCTTGTTATTTGGGGGATTATATGGAAGCCTTTAGATAATGTTGTCTTTTTCTGGGTGTGTTTGAGATTTGATATACAGTAGTATCATTAGTTTTGGATCCCTGCTTTCCTGGCTATTTTAGTTACTGTATTTTATGGTTTTATGTTGCAAATTGTGCTCAGGGCTCCCAAGTGTGCTTAAAGTTTCTTTCTTTCTAACAGTTTGTTTCTTTCTAACATAAAAGTAAATATGTCCATTGAATATGTTGGCAGTGATGCACAGAACTGCAGAAACAAGCATACTGAGACAGTGGCCAGCTATCCATGCACCTGCTTTTCCAGAGAGTGCATTTGCTCTCAGCACGTAGTGTGAACGATTTACACGTGTGTCCCTACATCCTAAAATACCAATGGGCACGTATCTATCCACAAAAAAGGAAAAACTCCCCAAGATTATGAGTAGAAGGGAAATGAAATCCCATCAATTAGAGCTGAATTACTGGAATGAAACTGAATTCATATGCACACTTGCCAGATATTAACAAGTATACATGCATAGGATTGTGCCACAAGTTTGTTCCACCTTAAAAGAATACCAGGGTACTGGACACTGAAAATTTTATTATTCAGAATAAGAAAGTATTATGAGAATATATAGTCGTATCTATAAGAGCACTTAGCTCTTCTGGAGACTGAACACAGAATTACCCTACATAAGCAGGGTGTGTCTGTGTTCATTTTATTAATAAATATTACAGAATGAACTTTTTCTTGCTACATTAATTCATCCCTTTAACCACCGATAGATAAGAATGGCCTTAGTGAAACTAATCAAATACGATGGAATAACCATATTTGCCTCCCTCCATCTAGTAATCCTAGAGACACTGGGTTGGAGCCAGATTTAGCAATGCTTAGAGTATGCCCATTGATATCAATGGACTTATATTAGTCATTGCTAACCTAAGTCCCACTGATTTTCAGATGGTCTATGACTCTGTGCCAAACATGACTAACCCTGGATCCCCAACACATTGTCTTTTATAATCATGGATTTTTTGTTTAGCCACTGATAGACCTAATCTCCATGAATTTATCTAACTCTTTTTGGAAAAAAATGCTACTCTAGTTTATAGTTACCACATCTTACAGCAGTGAAGTCTTAACATTAATTATGGGAGTATTTGAATGACTACATCTGGGGCTTAATAAGCCAAGCTATGAATGAGTCTTATGTTGCGCATGCAGCCCCTTTGTGCTTCCGTTCACATGAGCACCCACGCAGACAAGGAGGTCTTCTACTGTGAGTTCCCATTCTGATAATAACTTTGGAACAAACCAGGAGATTAAGCTAATTTCTGGCTTGTTCTGGATCTGTGAATCATAGTTTCCCAATTTGAATGAAACAAGAACCTTTTGTTACTGAAATACTTCTTGGTTTGCTTGTTCATGCAAAGCAATAGCCCAAAGGGGCTGTGTGCATAGCCAAAAGACATGCTCATATCTTTGCTTATTAAACCGATATATGATCATCCAAACATGGTCTATGGGATTTTATGATAACTCAGTAATGATGCTCATGGAATCCAAAATTGAATGTTAGCAGTCATGAAGCAGCATCCAGTGTGCTGGGTTGGAGAATAATGAGAAGGTAACAGCTTATTTGTACTAATAGGGATAGGTTTATTCTACTACTGTGTCCAATTCTTGGTTCTTCTCAAAGTCTCTTATTGTTCTTAGGTCCCAAAGCCTTGCACAGAAGCTTATTTCAGTGGTTATGGAAGCATAGGAACTGCTAATTCTCAACAGGAGGGAGAATCTGAGAGTTTTCTGTTTAAACTTTTGAGTAGGCATTTCAGCATGCCTGCTGGTAAGCTGTACTGAATTCCAGCATTATGCCAAGTCCTGAAGGTTGCAACGTGTCTAACTGCTAAGATCTCTTCCAGGCCTCTTGGCGCCCATCACTGAAAAAGCAGGTGGTCTGAAGTGAGGGCTCCCTTTGGGCTTTCACACTCTGTGCACAACATACAAACGTGAAAGACAACTGTCAGTTCCTTCCCTTCCTAGTTGTCTCCCCCTTAACAAAAGGAGAGGTTGGGAGGCGAGCGGAGATGGGACACAGATGGATGTGTTGGAAACCTGTCAATATGTTTATGGAGACATGCTATTGTGTAGTCCCAGATTGCTTGTGAAATAATCAAATAAGACAGGCACCCCTTTATTTAGGAACTAATAAGTGGTCCGTATGTTGTTCAATGAGATGGAGAGCATATATCTTGCACCACAACATTTATAAAAATATATATGCTTGCAACAGGTTGTTTTGCACCGCAGCGGGTTGTTTTATACACATATGAAAGCAATTTATTTAAAGCTCCTTTTTATTTTTAGTAAAATAGTTAACTAAATATTTTATTTAGTCTTTTAAATATTTAGTAAAATATTATACTGGTGGTTAAAAATCCCATTGGGCACCTGCACAGTTTTGTGACTCTTGGGTAATCTGTTTATTTTATTATCTACTTTGGAAGTATTTCCTTCTCTGTCCTTCACTGTTGCAGAGGGAATCATAGAATCATAGTTGGGAATTATTCAGCATTTTTACACCCCACCTGCAAGGTAGCTTCTTTCCCTTCCCCATTTATCCTGTACTACAGCTCACCACCTTGATTTGGGGATTCTCCAGACCACGTGGTCAAGCATTGCAAATCGTTCCACCCATTTTTTAAAAAGACTTCTTAGTAGACTTCCTAATCACTACTAAACTATATTGGTAATTTCTGAACTAAAACCATTTTTGTAAAGCGTTCTTTGTGGCCATGCAGGATCCTGCCCTGCCCCCGTCCCCAGCTCACTCATCCCTGTGCTCCTTTGGTGTCCTAGCCATGATGTCCCCACAGGGCTCATGACATCTGGGGCCACAAAGATAAAGAATTACACAACGTTTAGAAGACATCTGAAGGCAGATATCAGGAGATTTTTGTGTTTTTAGATATGCTATAAGCCGCCCAGAGTGGCTGGGGAAACCCAGCCAGATGGGCAGGGAATAATAATAATAATAATAATAATAATAATAATATGCAGCTTGCCATGCTATCCAATCCCAGGCATACTACAATTGGTGGAACTAGCCAAGAACCTTCTGATCCCCTCCTTATACCCTCACTGGGCAGGAGAGGGGAGTGGGAGCATGCAAACCAGGTTGTGGGGGGGGAGGAATAAGGATAAGCTCAGTCTCATACTTCAAAACCATGTTTAAGTGTTACGTTTAAATGTAGCCAACTAGCAGATGGTTTTGAATAGAGCCAAACCATAGTTTAGTGTGACATAAACAAGCTGGGACAGGCCTCAGGTTTGCACAGTCCCCCGTCCCTGGCATGGCTGCAAGGAGGAGCTGCCACCGTCTCTTGACCAGAGCTTGTCATGTCATCGGAGACTGACAAACTCTGGTTAATATTTGAAACGATTGAGCTTGAAATGATGTTTCAAGAGCCACCCATAAGCCAGGACGTCCTTCTGCCCTTTAGACCTCACCTTTGCCACTGAATTGCTAATTGGATTTTAGGCCAAACTTAACTATCATCCCCCATGGATAGAATACTGACATTCCTTGTATGGATTACTCAGATAATGTCTATGACGTGGTTTGAACACTGAAGTACCGTGTAATTGCTAAGTTCCATTGGATTGCTAACATTCTTTCTTCTACTTTCCATTTCAGTTGCGAGTGAGAAGAGGGTGCCAGTAATGCCAGGATCCCCTGTGGAAGTGAAGATACAGTCACGATCCTCGCCGTCCAGCATGCCGCCATTGCCGCCTGTCAACCCTGGTGGACCTCGGCCTGTCTCATTTACCCCAGCAGCATGTAAGGCTGTGTCTTGTTCTGCTTTCTGGGAAAAGCCACCGCGAGTTCTTTCTTTCTAATGCAGACATTAGAGAAGTGAGGGACTGTTGTTTCAGTCCAGGGGAGGTGAATGGCTGGTATAGTACCTAATTAGCTGGTCACTTTTGTGGCTTTATTAGCAGCCAGGTTTCCTGAGATGCAGATTTTTAAATATATACATAGGTTTAAGCTGGGTTTTAATTTAGGAAGCGATTTTTAAAAATGTTTAATTTCTTGAGAACATCAAGTTCTTTGCATCTGTGTTTTCTGTTCTCATTAATAAGAGGTGTGTTTGTCAGCACATCTGGTGTGTTAACTTTTTATTTATTCTCAGATTCTGGAGTGCTAGGGTTTTCTTAGGTCTCTTAAATTTTATTGTGTACTGTACAGGGTGGTACAGAATGCAGACATCCTGCAAGGAACAGAAAAAGAGCACTCTGGTCCCGGGAATGTAAGCTGCCTTATGCTGGTCAGGTTGAATGCTCATCTAGCCCAGTAATGCTCCCTCTGACTGGCAGCAGCTCTCCAGGGCTGTGGATAGACGTCTTTCCCACCACCAGCTCCCCTGCCCTCCTCCCTTTAAAAACAAAAACCAGAGGGGTCAGGAAATTAACAAGGAATCTTCAACCTGCAAAGCTTATACTCCACCACTCAACCCCACTAGATGTTATTTCCTAAAATATTAAATAGTTTTTAACACTACCACCCAGTATCAAAAGTAAATATGTCGACTCCTGAATTGTGTTCTCAGCAATTCTGCCTGCATTTCAATATTTCCTATTTTGTGTAACTTCCTTCCAGTTGAAATCAGACAGGCCCCCCTCCCTGTTGAATTTCTGGCATGTACTGAAAATTTTTAAAATTCCAGCTTTTAACTTATTTTATAGCAGCCTTTCTCAACCTGTGCATCCCCAGATGTTGCTGAACTACAACTCCCATCATCCCCTAGCTAGCAAGGCCAGAACTCAGGGATGATGGGAGTTGTAGTCCAACAACATCTGGGGACCCACAGTTTGAGAACCACTGCTTTATAGCATTAGCTGGTTTTTACCTTTTCTGTATTTTATTTATTGTACACCACTTGGAGACTCTTTGTAGTTAAGTGGTATATAAATTTATGTAAAAAAGAAGCATTTGGGGGCTAAACCTCAAAATATAAAGCTAACATATTCATTGCTTTTTGACTTCCCCTCCCCACTGTAGTACCCAATGGAATGAACCATTCTCCCCCGACGCTGAATGGAGCACCGTCACCCCCTCAGAGGTTCAGCAATGGCCCTGCCTCATCATCTTCATCTTCACTGACCAACCAGCAGCTTCCAGCTACCTGTGGGGCCCGTCAGCTCAGCAAACTCAAACGCTTCCTGACCACCCTCCAGCAGTTTGGCAACGACATTTCACCAGAGATAGGGGAGAAAGTCCGCACCCTTGTTCTGGCATTAGTGGTGAGTATTAATAAGTCAAATACAGCAAAGAAATGAGAAGCAGAAGCTTTTGCATTTCGTTGTGGAATCACAGAATCATAAGCTTGGAAGGGGAGCCTGAGGGGCATCTAGTCCCACCCTCTGCAATGCAGGAATCTCAACTCAGGTGCCCATGACAGATGGCCATACAAGCTCTGCTTAGAAACTTCCACTGAAGAAGAGTCCACCACCTCTTGTGGGAGTCTGTTCCACTGTTGAACAGCTCTTACTGTCAGAAAGTTCCTCCTGATGTTTAGTCAGAATTTCCTTTCTTGTAAATTAAATCCATTGTTTTGGGTCCCTCTGGAGCAGGAGAAAACAAGCCCTTTATTTATATATATATATATACCCAAATTCTTCAACTGTTCCTCATGAGGCTTGGTTTCCAGACCCTTCTGATCCTGCTCAGACTTTGTCAGTAGGCTTTCTGTAAATGGCCAAACCTCTTACAATATTTGCTCCCCCCCTCTAGGATTAGTGTGCTTCCCCCCCCAAACCTGCATTGCATAACTTTTCAGAAATTGGGGTGTCCATTTTGTCATAATTAATTGCAGCACGGTGAATTAATAATTTTCTGATGCTGTTGATTTGAGTTCAGACCAGTTTTTAAAAGGAGAAATATTTGTGTTTGTGTGTAGCATATAAATCACACTCATACACACAACTGGGGTGCACTTTCATCTAATTCTGTCTCAGTGTAATCTCGAGAATTCTGTTTACACATTGCAAGGCTTTTCAAACCCTGATTATACATGGTCAAAAAAATGATTATGTGCTAGGAACTGACATGTGACATTTCACCCATTTTTCCTGTTTCAGATTTTTATTTATTTACTTTATATTTTGGAGGTTGTCTAGCTAGCATTAGCACTCTACGATTCCAGATAACTTCTAATGACTGTGGTCACACTTTGAAATGGTGCAGAAGCAGCTTATGAAACCAGAGTAGCTATCTTTTTAAGTAATCACAATGCAGTGTGGTCGATGGATGTCAGCCCCCCCCCCCCTTCCTATGTCTACATCTATTTGTAACCCACCTTAAGACTGCATGGTGAAAGGGGCCTATAAATGTATGTAAGTTAAATGAATAAATTCTTAATGTATAAATTATGCATTGAGTGTGAGAATTTGTAGCTCACGGTTCCTAGCCAAATGTGAGATGAGGCAGATCAGATAGGACTGGAGACTAAGGAATATTAGTTCTTTCCACACGGTACATGCAAATCCAGATTCTCAGAGAGAAAAAGCCTTGTAGAATTTCTGTTGAATTAGAATCAATAACCACGTCAATCCCCTTTCTCTTTACAGAATTCTACTGTGACAATAGAGGAATTTCACTGCAAACTCCAGGAGGCTACCAATTTTCCTCTTCGTCCATTTGTGATTCCATTCTTGAAGGTGACTGCTTAATACTGTGCATTGGCTGGTGAGCCAGTAAGGAAAAAATTCTGTGTGCCACACTAGAGAAAGACTCACCAAGCAATGATTTTTGATAGGAGGAGGATTCTGACTATTTGAGAGAAAGTCATGTCATGTGTATGGGGCGTGGGTGGCGCTGTGGGTTAAACCATAGAGCTTGCCGTTCAGAAGGTAGGCGGTTCGAATCCCCGCGACAGGGTGAGTTCCTGTTGCTCGGTCCCTGCTCCTGCCAACCTAGCAGTTCAAAAGCATGTCAAAGTGCAAGTAGATAAATAGGTACCGCTCCAGCGGGAAGGTGAACGCCATTTCCGTGCGCTGCTCTGGTTCGCCAGAAGCGGCTTAGTCATGCTGGCCACATGATCCGGAAGCTGTACGCTGGCTCCCTTGGCCAAAAAAGCGAGATGAGTGCCGCAACCCCAGAGTCGGTCACGACTGGACCTAATGGTCAGGGGGTCCCTTTACCTTTACCTTTTACATGTCACGTGTAGCCAAAAGTAGTTGCCAAGGAATGCTCAAGTGCCCCCTTTCTCTACCACCACATAACCTCTGACCATTAAGTGGGCTATCTACCTGCTCCTGGCCTGCAGTGTTTCAGCTGATGTGATGAAAGCAACTGGATATATATATATATATATATATATATATATATATATATAAACTTTCTTTCTCTGGAGGGTGTTCTGTACAGCGTGCCTCAGTCATTACAACATGCCCCAGGCCCATGCGTTCCTTCCTTCCTTGTTTATTTTTAACCATTGATCCAGCTGGATACTTCTACACAGGGAAGCATGAGGGGGAGCCGAGCTGAATTCTGAACTTTGTGAGACCTGGCAAGAATAGGAAAGAATCAGCCCTTTCCCCACCTTCTGTTTGAAGGGACTGAATCTCCCATTTATTCATAGTAGAGTTGCATGAGAGCTCATCCCTCCAGAAGACATTTATTGTCTGGGACATGGAATAATAATAATAATAATAATAATAATAAGCAACAACAACAATAATAGCAGCAACAACAATAACATCATCATCATCATTCATCATCATCATCATTATTATTATTATTACCCTGCCCATCTGACTGGGTTTCCCCAGCCACTTTGAGCGGCTCCCAACAGAATACTAAAAACATCGTAAAAGATCAAACATCAAGTACTGCAAGCTATAGCCCAGCCTATCACAAATATAGGCACTGCTAGCAAATTCTACTTTCTTTTGTCTTATTTGCTCTTGAGGAGGCTCACAATGATTCTTGGTGGGGGTGGGGTGTCTCTGTGGCAAAGGAACCCTGTTTTAACAAGTAGCTTGCTCCTATGGCTCATTAGATGGTCAGCAGCAAGAGGGTATCCCAGCAGCTGAATAAATCTAAATGGCAACCCTAACCTTTGTTTTGCAGGCCAACCTTCCCCTTCTGCAGAGGGAGCTGCTGCATTGTGCTCGGGCAGCCAAACAGACCCCTTCCCAGTACCTGGCCCAGCATGAACACATCTTGCTGAACACAAACACTGCGTCACCAGCTGACTCTTCAGAGCTGCTGATGGAAGTGAATGGAAACGGAAAGAGGCACAGTCCAGACAGGTAGCAGGAGCTGGTTTCAAAACAGACAAATTTGTCATTAAAAAAAAACTAACAACCTGCCGCCTTATAAGCTGCTTTCTATTAAAATTCCCTTTTGTTGTGACCTCTTCAGGCATCTGGTAGTTCAAGACTTGCCTACGTGTGTCTTTTTTAGGTTGGCTCTGTGAATATTTGACTTGTTGCGGCTTTCAGTATAGCCTGCATGATTTAGAAAAAGAGTTTTGGAATTGGTGCACCTGTCGTTTGCCACACTTTTCAGCTTAATGTCTCTCCCTTCACTAGAGACCCAACAATGGGAGAGGGAAGTTACCCTCATCTTTTGTTTGTGGATCACCATACCTGCTATTTGAAAACCCTGACCTGGTTTTGAATTTCATGTTCCGTATCACATCTAGTTTCTCCCTTTGTGAAAAGGATACTGGACTATAGGCCATTGGATTGATCCAGAAGCATGATTTTTGTGTACCGTCAGTGTGCATGAATTGTTTTCTACTTGATCTCTTTTCCAGAGTTCACTTCTACGTATATCTCTTTCCCCATTAATTACTGGTTTCAAACTTACTTACTCTCCTTTTCTGCATTTGGTTTCTTAGTACTAATGGAAAATTTCCTTTCTTGACTTGCTCACAGGAGGGAAGAAAACAGCTTCGAGAGAGAGCCGCTCCCGTCAGAGCCTCCTGCCAAGAGGGTGTGCACCATTAGTCCAGCCCCTCGCCACAGCCCGGCTCTGATGTTGCCTGTCATAAATCCAGCGGGACAGTTTCATCCTACTCCACCCCCACTCCAGCATTACACCCTGGAAGACATTGCAACGTCCCATTTGTACAGAGACCCAAGCAAGGCATTGGAGCACAGAGAATTGCGAGATAGACATGGTATTGGTAAGGAGTCCCATGTAGTTTTCAAATGCATTTCCCTTAGCCATTAAAGCTGCAAATTCAACGCTTTTTGAATCTCCGTAGATTCAGTTCTTGCAAAGCAAAATCAATGGCACACAAACCTACACAGCTCCTTCGTTGATCTGGTAGCCCTCTGGGGTTTTAGAAGCCTGGGCTGTGTTTTTTGGAGCAGGAGTGGGGCACCTTTTTGGCCTGGCGATCCAGATCTTTTATCTCTTCCTCCCCGCTGTGGGCCCACTTTGATAGGCGGGTGGTGGTGAGAGGAGATAGTGACCAAGTAGGATTGAGCTGGATTGATAGATGGCTGTGGGGTTTTTTGGGGGCGGGGGGAAGAGTCTTACAGACAAAATTTGACTCCCAGGCAGAGGATTTTTTCCATGGGCCACTGTTATAGAATACAGTGGTACCTTAGGTTACGTTACCTTTGGGTAACATAATTTTGATTTACAAACGCGGCAAAACCAGAACTTTATACTTCCGGTTTTCAGTGCGCTCCTCCGGATACGGACTTTTCGGGGTACATATGGACCCCCAGGATAAATTAAGTTCGTATCTGGAGGGTCCACTGCAATAGCTCTTCTCTCCCCTGCCCCATATCTTTGTATTGCATCAAACTGTTAAGGCTCTTTTTCTGACACAGCATTTTCCTTGCCACGCATTACAGGGTTAAACGGAGGCTATCAGGATGAACTCGTGGACCATCGCCTAACAGAGAGAGAATGGGCTGATGAATGGAAGCATCTTGATCATGTGAGAGACTGACATGGGGGGGGGAAATCCCAAATAAACCTGGACTGCATAAAACCTAATTACCAGGGCAGGCTGTTTATCGACCTAGCTCAGTATAGTGTATTATAGCTGGAGCAGGGTCTCCAGCTGAGATTCTTCTCATTTCCTGCTGCCTGTTCCTTGGAACTAGAGATGCTATGGATTTTACCTGGGCCTTTCTGCGTGTAAAGTGTGTGCTCTTCCATGGAGCAGTGGAAATGTAACAGCATGTGTGCATGCAGCAAGTGTGTGTGTGTGTGTGTGTGTGTGTGTGTGAGAGAGAGAGAGAGAGAGAGAGAGAGAGAGAGAATATAATTGTTTAGCCTAGATGGGCCATAATGCAGTAATCGGGCACATGCTTTTTACATACAGGAAGTCCCAGATTCAGTTCCTGGCGTCTCCAGTGGAATTTGATACAAATAAATGTACAGTTTGAGAGTCATGCAAAACAGTGTTCCGCAGCTAATTAATAGCCAGGCTGTGTGACCAGCATCATAATGTGGTACTGGGCTGTACCATTTCATGTGATGAATTGCATATTTAAATGTTTCCACTTAAAAAAAATAAATCTCAGTTATGTAAAAAACTAGCATGTCAATGACTGTACTAGACCAGCCCCCTTTCCCATAATGCTTGTTTTTTTTTATATACAGGAGTTTGGGTTTGATTTCTTTTTTTAAAAAGAGGGTCACTACAACATGCAGCGTCACAGTTTGAAACCATTTACTGCAGCAAAACCAAAAAACCTTCACCCTGTTAATTTTGATACTGTAGTTTTGCCCCTGAGTTTCTTTTTCTTAAAGTTGCAGGAGGAAATACATTTTCTAACAGCTTCTTCAAACGCTGTTCTTTCCTCTCTCTGGAAGGCATTGAACTGCATCATGGAAATGGTCGAGAAGACCAGGCGTTCTATGGCCGTTCTCCGCCGTTGTCAGGAGGCTGATAGAGAAGAGCTCAACTATTGGAAGAGGCGATGCAGTGAAACCACAGAGCCACGGAAAGGGGGGAATGACTTAATCACGAGGCAACATAGCCCAGGGAGTTCAGACTCCATTAACAGTGGTAAGCTATGGAACTCTGCATGTTCCATATGTGTTTTGAAGTGGAATAACATTTAACAACCGTGAAAGTGGCTGTGTATTATTAGTGTATTAATGTATTAGTGTATTATTAGTGTGCCAGAAGACCAAAGTATTAGATTGTTCCCATTCTTTTCAACAGGCTCCTTTGCTTTTGCAGCTTAGTCTGTAATCTTCAACACAAAAATTACTTATACTCCAATTAATTAAGTACAATGCACCTTACTTCTGAGTTAACTTCTGCACAAAAATAGAACTATCTGAAATTGAGCAAGCTGTGCCTTCCCTGCCCCTGTGTGCCTTGGATAGTCAGAAGTTTGAACCTGAATGGATGTCAAGTAGAGTTGTATGCAAAAGAAACAAAAAAGGAATAAATAGAAATCATGTATTTCTTTTATTTGTGAAATCTTGCCTTTTGCTGCTGCTTCTAGCATTTTAAGTATAAAAATGCAATGCATTCTTTCTCACTGAATCTGTCTCCCCCCCCCCCACTACATTCCAATGAAATCAATTAAAACTCCCATTATACTGTTAGTGACTTTCCTTATTAGAAATTCACTTGTAAAATGGGGGTGGGGACAGGATGCTTGCCACACATTAATATTTAACCTGGGGCATGCATCTAGGTGGAGGATTTGTCTTGGCAACTATCTCCTGAAATTCTGGGGTGGATAGGATAGTGTCAAAAACAAGCCTATTGCAGGGAGACAGAATGAATACAGTGGTACCTCAGGTTACATACGCTTCAGGTTGCAGACTCCGCTAACCCAGAAATAGTACCTTGGGTTAAGAAATTTGCTTCAGAATGAGGACAGAAATCGTACTCCGGCGGCGCGGCAGCAGCAGGAGGCCCTGTTAGCTAAAGTGGTGCTTCGGGTTAAGAACGGATCTCCGGAATGAATTAAGTACTTAACCCGAGGTACCACTGTAAATCAATTGATACAAGTTACAAATAAATATAGGCCATGTAAATTCTTTCTCCTCGACACACTTCCCCACTCAATATCTCTCAGTCTCCTGGCTCTCACTCAAGGCCCAAACAAACTCACAAACCTCCCCGGAATCTCACAACAAAGAAGGTTTCTGGTACCAGCTGGCATCACCCTAGTCTCTCACCTCTAGGCTTGCTTTCATGGGCAGCACCAAGGTGGACAGAGCTTCCTCAGGCTGTTCACAGCTGTGTCCCATTCAGCTGTCAATCAGCTGGGCTGCACACACCCAGTTCCAGGTTTCAGCAGATTTATTTTGGTGATTTTCCCAAGGAGTTCCAAAGATGGCAACCCCTCCATTCGCAGTTCTTTCTCTGTGGCCTCTGCCTACCTCTCCCCTACCAGCTGCTTTCATGATGCTACAGCTTGTACAAAACCAGCTACACAATGCTTCTAAATCCTTACCGATGCAGCAACCATTGACTTTAATTTCAAAACAATGACGCCAGATGGAAATGAAAGTGGCCGTAGTTTTTGCTACAAGTTCTACGTCCTTTTTTCTTTGCATGTCCTGTCTTTTTTGGATTGTGAACCTGTGGCAGGGAACAGTAAAAAAATCTTGGTAATGATTTTTGTATTCCACCATATCCTGGTGATATGACAGGGAGGCATTTCTATATCTCTTCCTCATAACGAAGTATGAATGTTACTTTGTAGTTGAGGGTGCATGCAAAACCATGCATTAAACAGAATGTTGAGCCACAGGGTACTTTATCTGCCATCTCAAATGCTTTAATTATGGATTGGGGGCTGGAGAAGTTCTAGTGGCAACTGGAACAAGGAAGTGTGCTTGCAAAATAACCAACCTCTTATATAACCCATCAAAACTTGGCTTAGTGGAGGTAGGCTCTTCAGATATAGATAGAAGATTCCAAGTATGGAATAGCACTCTTGAGTGTTGAATGCTGGAGGAGGAGGGGGAGCCCCAAAATCTTCATGTTGTGCCTTAGAATTTTACATAGATGATTGCAACTGGAGATACTGGCTTGTAACCTTGATTCAAGCAAGAGGGACACTTGGACATAATTTGGCTGAGCTCATGCACAAAGATGCAGCATAACAAAATAAACCACTGAAGAAGGCTTGTAAGCAGAACATGTATGGTACTGATATTGCAGTCATCCAGAAAATCTGGTTGATGGACATTAAGAACATCCTGTGATAAAGAATAGCATATAATAATAATAATAATAATAATAATAATAATAATAATAATAATTTTTTATGCATTCATTCATTCATACCCACCCCGCACAACTGGGCGGCTTCCAACAAAATATTAAAATACAATAGTCTGTCAAACATTAAAAGCTTCCCTAAACAGGGCTGCCTTCAGATGAAGTATAACCCATGCAATGTAGAAAAAGTTTCTTGTTTGGTTATATGTTTTGGAGATCTAGGTTCTGTTTATAGATTTTTCTTTTTTAGTTATTGTAGCACATAGCTTTTATATTTGGTATTCAGTTTTCTAAATTTGTGTATTTGTATATGCCTTTTTAGTTCAGGGTTATACTCCATTTTTGGTAATAAAATGTTAGGCAACACATCTATTAGATTTTGTGCTTATATAGACTGATCATTAAGTTCATTTACGTTGGTTATCCTCTATTTTTTATTTTACATTGACAAGACTCACTTAGGTTCATTAATTTCAGTTACATCTACTTTGAGTAAAAAGTAAGTTGAATTCAACAAAGGCGCACTCTGTAATGAATACTGCTGTATGTCTGTAAGTGAGCTATATTTATGGGGGGCAAGATGAGAATGGAGACTTACTTCTGGGTTGAGAAATGCTGTATCCTCTGGTTTTCCCCATCTGGCGCATAAGGTTACCCTTACATCAGGGTGTCAGAAATGCATTGCTTTCAATCTGAAGGTATGCAGCATCTCATCTAACCATGCAACCGAAGACAGTGAGAATGTAACGTATGTGAGAAAAATGTTCACTGTTAATCTTCCTTGATTTCTGTGTAGCACTGTGTATCTTTGAGTTCCTGTTCTCAAAGGACACCTTAAAATATAGCGTCTGCTCCAGTGGCCTGAAATCCTTGGGAATACAAGGCGCACTGTAAAAACGTGAGACGCCATTAGCAAGGATTAATGCTCATTACAGTAGGGCAAAGCGGATGCTTGACAAGACATATTTATAAGTGTGTAGCCTGTGATGACAGAGTATTAAAAGATGGAAATTGGCTTCGCTGTCCAATAAATTATGCAGGACACTAAATTAAAAGTGGCCATTTATCATTTTGCCTTTTGGTGAACACTGTTAAACTGCAGAAGTCTCTTGGCTTGGTTTTTAGCAATTAATCCTACCCTGTTCTCTTCATGCCACTTCTTGCTGAACAGATGCAGCCTATCAATTCTTAGAGTTTGGGTGGGAGAATATTTCTGTGTCTAATACTGTCGACACCACCCTTCCTTCTGCAGATTCTCAGCGGGAGTTCAGCGGCAGGTCAGGAGCAGCCGGTTATGTCACCGAAGAGATATGGAAAAAGGCTGGTAAGTAAGGAGGCCCCCTTCAGAGAAGTGCCACACAGAGAAGCTGTGGAATGTTACAAGAGATTCTTGAGAAGATGGAAAGCCTTACGCACCACAGGTTGGCTGGGGAAAGGCGTCATAAATATGCTGCTGTCTGACTGCCTAGAGAGTGATAATGGCCAGAGCCAACCAGGGCCTCCAGCAGATGGACCCATCTGGACCCATCACTGCTTGTCCATTTGACCTAGGGATTTGAGCCAGCCACGCAGCGCTGGCACCTTCCCCAGACGGAGTGGGGGGAGAGGGGGTGCCTGAGCCTCTTTTCCTTGGAGGTAGCTGATAGAGAGTCCCACATGTGCCACTGCTCCTTGCATGTTTAATTTGGGGGTTGTCTGGGTAAATGGCGGTAATGGCAATGTTCACTTGGTTTTTCAGTTTGCCTTTCTGGCAGGAGCTGGAAGAGGGCATAGCAGAACGAAAGGAAGGGAATTTTGCCCTGCTCCTTGAGACAAAATAGGGCAGAGGGAAAGGAATCCCTTTTTATGTTAAGGGAATACTTTCTATATCCCTTTATAAAAAATTATGGGAGTGTTTCTGTTAACAACACACTACAACTGCAAGCAAATGTTTCAGGAATACTTTTAAAGGCAGCTTCCAAAGCAGTCTGCTAATTATGAAAAGATGGTGATTTTCAAATTCTTTTTAAAAGCCCTGCTTTAATATAGCATTACAAACCATTTTAAAACTGGCAAGATCAAATAAGAAAGCTAAAAGACATGTCCCTCTGTATATGGAGAGTTTGGCTTCTAAGGTAGACGACCTTCCACTTCCTCTTCTCTGGGGAAAAATATTGAAAAGTGTGGCTGTGTTAGTATGTTTTTAACAGTTAAAAAGATAGTTCCATAGGGAAAACACTATGGAAATATAGGTTCTACACATAGGTCACACTGTAAATTCATGGGCATAAGCATACCTAGCTCCATTGGACTTTGGCCGTTGTCTTTCATTATCAATTTTAACAGGATAACACTACTAAAAACGGGGTTCATCTTGGGGTTCTGAGCAATGTTTGAAGGTTTGCTTTAAGTAGAGGCTGGATGAAACCATTTGCTTCATTCTGTGTTAATTTTTGTGCATGTTGAAAAGTACCTCCTGACTTCTCTGCAACTTTCTGAGTCTCCTACAAATTTGCATTGTTTGATACTGTTCTTTTTAGTGCTTCCCTTTCGTGCCCCTCCCTTCTTTCATTGGCTTCTGCTTCATTTGCTGACACTGCCATTTAATCCAATTCTCTGTTGATGATGCTGATGCAGCAAAACCACCCTTAATGTGGTGTCATGGGTGCTCGTAAACAGAATCACAAGGGTCTGTGTAGCCAGTAGAATTAAACTGCTGGATGGGCCAACAAGCAAGGTCAAGGACAGTAAAGGAGTGAAATGGCACCAGGAAAAGAGACTGCATTAATTTTCAAGGCTAGAGTTTCTACTGCCTTGCTTAGTTTACTCAAATAGCATCCCTAACTTTCTGTATGGACTGCCAACTTTGTTAAAAGGGTAACTATCTCAATGCATTTAGTTAGATTTGTAGTTTACTCAGTTCCAGAGGCTCAAGGTAACCCAAAGCATGCTGAATTCTTTGGATACAAAAAGTCTGCTGCTGCGCCTATGTGATGCAGTAGAGGGCATAAGAAATCACAGTATGACCATCAATTCAGTAGTATTGCCATAAGTTAGGCTAAAGTGCTATGCAGAAGCTTCACTTTCTTAACTCCTATGACCACTGGGTACTTCCCTGCTATGTACTTTGCCTTCCAATGTGAAGCCGTTTGATGAGGCTTTTGTTTCCCTTCAGAAGAAGCTGTGAATGAAGTGAAGCGCCAGGCCATGTCTGAAGTCCAAAAAGCTGTAGCAGAGGCCGAGCAGAAGGCATTTGAAATGATTGCATCTGAGAGAGCCCGCATGGAACAGACCATTGCCGATGCAAAACGCCAGGCTACAGAAGACGCTTTCCTAGTCATCAATGAGCAGGAGGAGTCTACAGAGGTGAGAAACCAAGGGAATATCTCTGGCAATCATGGGAAAAGTCCCAAGGCAAGAACTTTAAAGATGACATGCAATCCTTCTGGATTCATCCTTGTTTTTCATTCTGATTAATCTGATCGGAGCAAAAATCTAAAGTCAATTAGAGTTTTGAGACACTTCCAGCTTCTCCCCCTCCAAAAGAACACATTTTGCCTGGGAATATGCAGCTTGGCTCGCTCTTCTGAGTTAGCTAGGGCTGTTTGTGCACTGACACACCTCTTGTTTGTTTATTTATTTATTGCCTTTAGACCTCACCTTTATTTCTGTCCAACAAGCAACTAATTCAGATTCATTGGTGCTGCCATTGAATCTCCACTGTCATTTTCAGTGACTGCATGAGGCTTTGAGATTTTCTTCCCGCCCCCCCGCACACCTTGCTGTCCCCCATTGTTTGGGAACAGTTGCAGTGAGGACAATGTCAGCAATTATATCGGAGAGGCCATCTGTTGGATTTGCAGGGTGTTGGCAGTCAGTGAAATGCAGGTGGATGAAAGCAAATTTAGGAGATGCTTTGTCACGGCAGAATTCCCTTCTCCCAGTTGCTTTTCTGCCATGTTGCTTAGTTGTGGCAGGCAAAGTTATTGGGTGGCTCTGCTCAACTTCCAGGTTGGAACCCCCATGCCTTAGGAAGATCGTCCACACACTGGATGGGTTTTCAGAAAAACCTTGCTTCTTACAAATTAACCCATTTAAACCTATTGTGCGGCTAATTTGTTGTAGGCTTCTTAGACGTGGTGCTGTTCTCTTAATGGTGCGGGTGGTAGGACTTGCATGGATTGCTATGAATCTCTGCACTATAGAAATGTCGGTCGATAGCACTTTTTTGGGGGGTGGGGTGCCGTTTGTTACCTTCCTCTGATGGCTTCGGTTGGGATGGGCAATAGCCAGTCTTGTTCGGAGCTGTGCTTAAGAGAAATGCTTGTTCTTTGGTTTTCCAGAGCTGCTGGAACTGTGGGCGCAAAGCCAGCGAGACCTGTAGCGGCTGCAACATTGCCCGCTACTGTGGCTCCTTCTGCCAGCACAAAGATTGGGAGAGGCACCACCGAATCTGTGGGCAGGGCTTACACAGCCAAGTCAAACCAGCCCCTATAACAGCAGGCCGATCCACAGCCGCCGCACTCTCAAAGCAGTCGATGCGGTAGCAAGTCCGGCTCTAGAGAAAACATCGGCCGCCACTTCTCGATCCTCCACCCCAGCCTCCGTGACAGCAATAGACAGTAACGCACTCTAAAAAAGAAGATTGCGCTCAGCACAGTTTATTAGTTTTCTACATTGAAAAACAGATGCCTCAAAATGTTGAAGAAGGTTTGTACTCCAGCACATTGGCACTCAGGCTTATGTTGTTTTGGGGCATTTTCCATACCATTATAATGTCATTTTTAGGAGTCCATGTTAGCCTTCCTTAGTGGGATCTCAGAACGGTCTGCCTGGGACCCTGAGGACTTTGGCCTATTGTTTCATTTTATCCGAACTTTCTCAAAATGCTACTCTCACCCGAGGTTCTAACAAGATGGTTGTTTGTTTACTACAAAGCAGAGCTTGCCTGGGCATCCTCTTCTCTCATCTTTGGTATGCAATCTGACCATTATTTGAAAATTTCTTTCTCAGGCAAAAGTGAATCAAGTGAAATGAGATGTAAGTAAGCTTGATTCTTAGTTCTAGCTATTTCTACTCCTTCCATTATCTAAGACTATATTTATTGGTTCCCCTACCCCCCTTTCCATTTCCCCCACCTCTCTCTCAATTTGGACACATAGGGAAAAAAGGGGGAGCTACAAGGATACTATTTTTGTTTGCTGAAAGGAGGATTTAAAACTACTTCATATAATGACTCAGCAGCCATCCCACTTGTTGATCCATTTTAATTCCATACAGTTATGGGCAAGCTGCTTAAGAATCTGTCTATGGGCCGCAACAGATTGAAATGTTTCATCCAAAGATTTTTACAAAAGGGATTGGTGGTCTTTCCCTGAGATCTAATTGCTTTGTCTCATAACACCAAGATATTATTTACTTACACACACACACACACACACACACACAGAGAGAGAGAGAGAGAGAGAGAGAGAGAGAGAGAGAGAGAGAGAGAAGTTGTTGGCTTTTAATGTTTGAGATTCGTTGATACAAAAATTTTGTAAACTGCTTTGACATGTTATATACATTAAATAAATAAAATAACAGGACCCCTACCAGACATGGTTTATTCCAACAGGTTTTCTATCACCAGGTCTCTCAGTGCATGTGAGCAAAGTTAAATAAAGTTCAAGTTGCAAATAACAGATTTCACGAACATCCAAGGCCAATGGGATCTTTTTGCTTCTCTAAGCAGTATATATCTTTAAACTGATGCCTCCAGCTAGGGATCCTGTGCATTTAAAACCAAGGAATGTGACTCTACCAATGCATTTGGCTACGTTCCTGAGTTGTGAGGCCTCCCTGTTGCATCTTTAGCAGCCTGCCTGTTCACTTCAGGGCATTTGAAAGCATGTCACTGGGAGGACACTTGAAAAGAATTCAAATCCACTAAGAACTAAAATCCATTAAGTTGTGATGCTAAATCTTGAGCATGCCAAATTAACTATTAAATTATATGATTGAACTAGACTGAAGTTAACTTGATGGTTGAATTAGATTAAAAAGTAAATTAAAGTTAATAAATAATTCCAGCCACACGGAAAGCCTTATTCATTTTTCCCGGAGATCAAGGGGGTAAGGATTTGGATTGGAGAAAGACTTAAACACCCCCACCCCCAAAATTGGAGGAGGTGTAGATATACCCAAAGCTGCATTCTGCTAGCAAAGCGACTATGTAAGGCTTCTGTGTTTGAAAGGTTATCATTCTGATATGGTTGACATTGGATTAATTCAGAAGTATACCATGTGAAGCAACTCTGTGCTCTAATTTCATAACTCACTTGAGGTTTAGCAGCAGAAGCATACTTTGCCTCATTTGAAAGTTATATTTTGCTACTATTGTTGTTGTGGGAGATGAAATTGCAAGTGCAGAAGATGAAGGAGCACATGAGAAACAGGGCTTGTTCATTTGGTGCCCAAATGTGATTTAGCATTATTCCTAATGGCTATCCCGTGGTAGCCAATTTTTTAGGTAATGTTTGATCTTCTAGAACACTGCTTGGGAGCTGCTTTGGTTTTGCTCATGAGACACATCTCCATGCATTCACATTCCCAGATACTAAACTGCCTGAAGAAAAAAAGCCAAAAATTCCACGTGCGACCCATCACTTAGTGATGCAATGCCAAAGAGGGAAATCTTCAGTTTTATTGATGAGTGAAGAGGATCAAGGTTTTAAAATTATCAAAAATGGCCACTTCTGTTGGATGCAGACCTTTCTCTGCCACATGCAAAAAAGAAAAAAAGCAGTAAAAGAAGCAGCCCTGATAATCTTGTACTGCAAGGAATACTAATTCGGTTTTGCAGAAAAATATGGAAATTATAATTAAAGCTGTGGTGTTGAAATTACTTACTGGCTTGTAAACCCCCACTTGCCATGTTATTTTCTGCAGAGAAGTGAAAAGAAGATTTGCTCCAAAGAGTTAAGGGGTGTGTGTGTCTGTGTGCGTGTGTGTGAGAGAGAGAAAGCGAGACGGCATTCTGAAATTGTGTGTAAATAGGCAGTCTTCCATAACTTTCCATGCAACTACAATGGCTTGCTATGTATTAAGAGGAAAACACACTAACTCCAATGTACATAAATGAATGCTACCATTCATGATTTTAAAACAATTTTTGAAAATGTATGTGGAATTCTACTACGGGAAGACTCCTTGGATTCTGTTTTCTATCTAATGTTTGCCATTCGATTCTATACTAGGAGTTTTTGTTACCTATTTTATGTGCATAACTTATTTAATGTACTGTATAAAGGAACCCAAACTGTTACAGATGTATTTAGTTTGTTCTACTCACAGTAGTCAATAAAAAGACTATATTCACCTTACCACGCCAGACTTTGCTTTGTTCTGTAGAATACGATTCTGTTTAAACTGACAGCTAATCTATAGAATGCACAAAATGTCCGTAAGTGATTGGAATTCTAGGGCAGTGAAGCCATATGCCCATTTCAAGAGTTGAGTCACCACGACACATGGGAACCCTCTGTGTGGTCTTCAGCTGGTGGGTCACAGCCTGACCTAAGGTGGGTTGCAAGAGGAGCACAGCCACCATTGCAGTGCATGGTATAAGATTAAGAAATGGGTCCCCAAATACCTGTTTGTGTTAAAGGTGGGTCCTGCATCTGAAAAGTCTGAAGACCACTTACAAATTTCATGGGGCCCAAAGTGAAACACAACTGCCCGATTCAAAGCCAAGAACATAAAAAGTACCATCCAAGGTGTGATAGGGCACTTCCGGCTCCATTCCTGGTTATGTTACAAAGTTTTGGGGTTGTTTTTTTTTAAAAAAGCCATTTTTATCCATATAACCCAGATAACAAAATAGAACTGTTTTCAATGCTATTTTACTTCCATGTGTAATGTTGTGCATGTGATTTAATTGTTTGCTGCTCTGTGTGTTCCTGTTGGAAGAGCGAGACGCAAGCATGAGAAAACCAGTCATCAAATGTTGGACCCCGGAGTAAAGCAGCAGGCAAAATGAGAGCACTTAAGCCTTTTCAGCCGGAGAGCTGACCTTCCTGGGGCTCTACGGCAAGAGTGGGCAGAATCAGAGCCAGCACACATATAGCACAGACATAAACAGTCTCTCGCACAGTGCATTTCAACTTGGAAGACGAGCATTTTGCCTTTCCTGCATGCCTAACTGCTCAAGGCGGGTGATCTACAAGGGAACTGAGGATGCTTAACCCTTCCCTGTCCAGCTGCACTCTCCGCAAAGGTTCTAGTCATGAGGCTTAAAAACACCTTACTGAAGTCTGTTTTCAAGCCGACTGGGATAAGCTCATGTTGAACTTGTTGCACAATGTGGCTGGAGAGGCTGCAGACTGTCACAGCCAGCTATTTTTTCCCAGCAGGGTTAGGGTTGAAATGGATAGAATCATAGAATTTAGAGTTGGAAGGGACCCTGAGGGTCATCTAGTCCAACCCCCTGCAATGCAGGAATCTCTGCGAAAGCATCTATGACAGATGGTGATCCAACCTCTGCTTAAAAAACCTTCCCAAGCAGGAGAGTCCACAACCTATTGAGGGAGATGGTTCCACTGTCAAGCAGTTGGGGGGGGGTGTTTAAGCCTTCCCTCCTTGCCTCTGACAACCCTCAAACTTAGGCTCAGAATAGGAGGCTCTTTTTCTGCAGGGGCCAGGACAAGGAAAGGAGGCTCCCAAGGGCTGCTGGTTCCCACCTCCTGATTTAAGCAAAAGGGTATTAGCATATATTTAAGTGACATATACTATTTATTCTATGTTCGTAGGCAGAGAGCAGAATAATTTTCTTCTAATTAAAAAGTTTAAAATTGCTGCCTAGGGCATTAAAAAAAACCAATACTCTAAGTGATTTACATTAACGAGTGCCATATTTTACTTTAACATCAATAAAATGCACATTTTACTGCAGATTTTCCTTGGCTATTTTTCAAGACCTGACTAATTATATATTACAATATAATATTGGGCACAAGCAGAATAAGAAGTAAGATATCTGCATAATTTAACACAGTTTTCATAATTTGAATTATTGCCAAGTTCTTGGGAGTTGGCACAAAATAATAATTATTTTTTAAAAAATTATTTTTAAAAAAATACATTTTGGTACAGAGTGCTACATCCCATGGCTACTTAGATGGTGCCGTTGCCTCAGCGGCCAAAGCAGGAAACACAAAGAAAGTGAAGTCCAAAAGCTCTTCACCAAACCTGGTAAGTGATTCACCGTATTTTTCACTCTATAAGGCGCACCAGACCATAAGACACACCTAGTTTTTGGAGGAGGAAAACAAGAAAAAAAATATTCTGAATCTCAGAAGCCAGAACAGCAAGAGGGATCGCTGCGCAGTGAAAGCAGCAACCCCTCTTGCTGTTCTGGCTTCTGGGATAGCTGCGCAGCCTGCATTCGCTCCATAAGACGCACACACATTTCCCCTTACTTTTTAGGAGGGAAAAAGTGAGTCTTGTAGAGGAAAAAATACGGTACTTACTTTGAGAATGTGGCTACAGTTTGCTGGGGAAGATGCAAGGCCAGCTTCCATTGAACTTGTTGCTCTCAGCGTCTGGGGTGGCTGCATATTTCCTGACCTCTTGAAGCCGAGAAGTAGGTTAGGGTTCAATTTGTAGCTCGGGATGGAAGGCAGAGTCAGTGCCACTGTTACCAAAATTTATGGGTTTGCCAGAGAAGATCAATATAGGTCAGAGGCCAAACCTGCAGGTGAGATTTAGCAGCCTCTTGGGCAGGGCCTCCATGTTGCCGGAATCTCTAATTTCCTGGATCAGGCCAGTGACCCATCAAGACAAGCATCCTGTACTCACAGTACTGCAAACAGGATCTGAGCACAACAGTGCCCTCCACTCCTGTGTTTTCCCAGCTACTGGTATTCAGAAGCATTCTGACAGTGGAAGTAGAACATAACCAATCAAAAACAGTAGCACAGGTCATGCTGGTTGTGGGAGCTGGGAATCCAACAACATCTGAAAGGCCAAAGGTCCGTCAGCCATTCTGTAGGGAGACAGGAATCATGGAAATTAGCAGCCAGACAATGGTTAGTAATCAGGGCTGCCTGTATTGTGCAGGGGCAGGGAAATTTCCAGCTCTCCATATTTGATGGACTCCCAACTCCTATCAGCCCCAGCCAACAGTGATGGGAGCTGTGGTCCAACAACAGCTGGAGGCCCAAGTTTGGGAAACCCTGGTCTCGTATTTGAGTGTGAGGTGGGATTTTGGAGAATTTTTGCTTTAGCACACTGCTGTGGAGTTCTATAGTCTCAGAGTTTACTCAAGAGCCCCACCTCCCTCCCACATCAATATATAGAATATTGCTTGTCCAGCACTTTGACGTGCTTTCGAACTGCTAGGTTGGCAGGAGCACGGACCGAGTAATGGGAGCTCACTCCGTCGCAGGGATTCGAACCATCGACCATGTAGAGATATATAAATTGCCCAAATAAATAATTTTGCCATGG